TTTGTGAAGTTTTTACAGTTTCTACTTTTCTTCTTCATTGACTCGGGTGTGACTTGATGGAAATGCATAGTAATTATAAACCTTATTGCACTAATACCTACACTGAGAGAAAACTTGAGTTATCATAATTGGAAATCTGATAACCGTTATTACGATATCTGCAATAAATAGGGTACAGATGTGTTCATTTGCTATCATAGATGAAGTGAATTTTCAGGGAGCTTGTAGTTATGGCAGCATATTCAATTTGCAAACTTGTATAAACACCGCCGCTGAATAACTACCACTCGTTCTAGTTTCTATGATAACACAGAGTGTCGAATAGAGATTATTCCTAAATAAATGTTACAGTAACTAATCCACTCTACAGTGATTATTCGACTATCATCATAAAACAGCCTGTTTTCATTACTGGCACAACCATCTTGAGGTAACGCGCAGTAATTCGTCTCATTTTATTATAGTTATCTGATATCTGAATGAAACCTGACACTTTGACATGCTATTGTAATATAGCTCATTTTCAACAGTTATCCCAATATTTTTCTACTCTAGTATATTCATCAAACAGTGGTAATTAGGTTATCTAATCATCATTGTTCGATGATATGCATTATGGAATCGTGCTTTGAATTACTGCAATGGAAATAAATAATATTCTATCCACACTCACTTTTCATGATCCATAGTTATTTTTTTCAAAAAACAAAAAATACGATTAGTCTCTGAATTGAAATATCTGGGTTTCTCTGGAAGTTTTTCTGACATTACTCATCGATTTTTTCGGAGAAATATAATTTATATGCATACTGACGAATTTATTAAGAAATGAGAAGTTGAATACTTTTATTTACTCTTCCTTCGGAGTTATGAATGTTATGATGAGTATTGTCAATAAAACTTCCTCACAGAAACCCAGATATTTTCATTCAGAATCTCATCGATAATTTTGTTTTTCGAAATGAACCAATTTTAGGCCGTGAAAATTGGGTATGGAGAATACTTTTACCATTGTAGTAATGCAATGCACGGTGTATTCCACAGCTCGGTTCACAGCCAGCAATAAAACAGAATTTTGCTACATCACACACATTCACCCACAAGACACGACTCTTTCGATTCGGACGAAAGAAACCAATAATAATTGAAGACAGGCACCCATGACCGCGAGAACAGGAGTGAAAATGAACGCGACCTGTAGCTTTGTCGTCCCCAAAACTAATGAAAAACCAGAGCGAAATGATGAGCCGAATTACGATTGTCGAATGATTGTCTAATAACCGTCATACATGTGAATTGCTATAGTTATTCGTCAACGTACAATGCTAGAAACCCAAACAGCTATGATTATTGGGACGAACATTATCTGAATTCACCAATAAGCATAATTCACGAAACGAGCTGTGTCAATAAAAAATCTAAATAGACTAGAATTAATAAAATTCTTATAATGTCATAACACACCTGCGTTACGATGGTAGCAAATGTCCATTCGAGGGTATTACAAACGGTTCAAGAAAGCGATTTTTATAATTACAGAATGGAGAGAATACTGTTGTAATAATAAAGTGATCAGGAATAGGAGATTTCTTTATAATGGTTATTACAATCAGAGCTGGTAGATATTATTAATATCCAGTTTCTCTCAGTGTATTTCATTTGAAGAAATATTAAAATGTTCTTTATTCAACGAGTTATCCAATTTCTTTATCTATTCGTTTTTCGTTATTGATTTTGCAACAAGCAGCTCAATGTCAATTATATTCAATTAATGTCCAATTATTGTTCTCCGGTTAAATTAGTGGAAATAGCTCGGGAAATAGCATTGGCCCGCATTCAAAATAAATTTTTTGTAACCCCTATCATCCACTAACCTTCTGCAATAAAGTGGTTGATCATTAATTGGAACTCTTTTAAAATCTTCCCCCGTTGGGAAGTAAGACAAATATCCTACTATTATGAGATCAACTGGTACAGTGAAATATGGTGTACACGTTTTTTTTTTGGCAATAATTGTCTGCTCTCATGGAAATAACTGCAAAGCATTGCGTTTGTGATAAAAATTGTTCTCGAGGCACTGGAATCGGCCTCCCTATATCTAGTTAAAGAATATAACTTGTACTTCTTGTATAAGAAAAGTTTTATTATGCAAGTAGGTATACGGTGACTGATTTCAGTGCATGAGGATCAAATTTCATGACAAACACAATGCTTTGAAATTGTTTTCATGAAAACGAAGAATTTTTGACAAAAAGAAGATGTTTAGCCACTTTTAAAAAATTCACATTTTCGAAAAACACCTTGTAACTCTGAAATAAAGATAGATATCCATATGCGGATTCCACCTTCGAGTTTGCCATATGAATTGATCAACAGGCACCGACATCAGTTTTTCCATTTAAAAGTGGCCCACCCTGTACAGTCATTGTTCACGTGTATCGGCGATTTTCACTTAGGTAATTTTGTACTTATCAAGCGATGGACTGGTTCACGAAAGAAAGTTTTGTTACGTAGTCTGAAAAACACGAATTTGATATTGAAAATGTGAACAAATAACTATTTATTTTACTTGGTTCTTTGGGATTTTCTCTCCTCGTTTCTATAAAATAAAAGTATTCGTATTATTTCAATATATTTGTAGAGGGACAAATCAGATGATTTGCCCCAAAATGTCACTGCGTTTAACAAATTTTTCTATCAGGGAGTCTAAAAGAAAAATCCAGTAGCTTATCAGTGACAATTTGTTTGAAAAAATTTTTTCGAAGGAAAGAAATATAGATATATTGAAAAAATATCGAATTTGTACTTATCTTTGGACGTTTCGGGACCTATTCTGCTCCCGTTCTCAGCATGTAAATGCAAATTATTTTTCTTTGAAAGTTGTGCTGCGTATAGTTTGACAAATATATTGAAATAATACGAATACTTTTATTTTATAGAAACGAGGAGAGAAAATCCCAAAGAACCAAGTAAAATGAATGTGGTACATTCCTCGATCAACCTACAGACAGTATTTAAATAACTATTTATTGAGATATTTCAAGATACAATTCGAAATTTTGATTTCATTTTCCCTGTCTTGGATGCATTTACAGCTACTTGCTCTTCTTATTTTGTCATTGGACACCTTATATACTCATGATATCGTACTTCAATGACACATTTTTAAATAGAAAATTCGATATGAAATATGATTTTTATGGCGAGTTTTTCATATTTAGTGAACAATCTTACCAGATGACGGCCATTTAATCAATAATCAATCCAAATACGAGATGTCAAATGTCAACAGATTTCTTTTGAATGGCGTTAAACTCGCCATTACTTTAAATGATATTCTTCCTCCTTTTCACCAAATATTGATAAATCACAAGCAAATCATATTGTTTTTTGACATTCATGTATAAAAAAAATGTGTCATTGTAGTACATCGTGATATATAAATTTAAATTGTCCAATGCTGAAAAAAGAAGAGCAAATTGTTCTAAATGCGATCCAAAAGGCAGGCGAAAAAGAAGGTGAAATTTGTAACTTTATATTGAAATATCTTAATAAATAATGGTACGTTCACATTTTCATTATCAAATTCTTGTTTTTTTAAGACAAAATACATAAGTAACAAAAAACATTTTAACATGATAAATCGTGAAAAAAAATTCGAAAAATCATGGTGAAATTCCCTATTCCATAAAGATATTTGTTACAAGTACTTACAAGTGGAAGCTTGCAAGAATGATATTCACAAGCTTCCTACTCATTTGTTCCCGGAGAATTACGTCATCACTGGCTATCGTTCAAAAAGGGTACCAAATTCATTTTTTTAAATTCAGCAGCTGTGTTGATTTTTAAAATCATTGATTTCATCATATAGGTGTATTAGTTTGATTCAAGGATTGTGTTGGCAGTTCGATAATTCCATAATAAACGAAATACAGTGTGTCCAGGGATAGACTTTGACATAGGCACCAAAAAAGTACTAGAACGGCTTTCATTTCCTGCTTGATTTATAATGAAATTTCGCCAAAGTGCAGTTGAAACATAATCTAAGTTAGTGTTTATTAAACGTAGGTTATACTAGAAATTCAAGTGTATAGATTTTTGATAAAGGTAATACCACGAGTACTTCAAGTATGTTATCTATCAATATCTATCAATAATTTGTTCTTCTCCACGAAAATGTAGTTATTTAGATGGGGCACAAAAAGGTAACTATTTGAAAAATTAAAAGCCTTTTTTTCTGTGACGGGAAAAAAGTTTGGCATTTCATCTCTGTTGGCAGGTTATAAAATGTCACTTTTCATAAATTACTTTTTTCCCGTGGGAAAAAAGTGAGTACTTCTTTCCCGGATATATATCACAAATATATACTCTGTTAATGGCTTTTGTTGTGCTATAGTTCCGAAAAATAAGTCAATAATACCGTCTCCGAGAAAGAACTGCAAGTCCTTTTATCTTCCATTCGACTTCGCGGTTTCGTATATTACTAAACAACTACTGAATTCGCAATTTTTTAAAATCAAATCACAGAATTGAACTGACAGAAGTGACATCAGATATTTGATTACTTCAAAAGAATGATAAAGATGTCTATAAAACGCAGGTGTCCCTACTGTTAAAAACTTGAAATTTCACGTCGATAATTTTCAGATTTCGAAATAATGTAATATCTTCCCAATATTGATTCGTCCTTCCTTCTGTCACAGAAAAAAATAGTGTATTATACACGGGAAAAATATTAGATTTTAACTCACGGTTTTTTGTCTCCCTCCGCTACGCGTCGGGAGACAACACAACCTGGAGCTAAAATCTACTACTTTTTTCCCTTGTATAATAAATAACTATTATTTCAATCTGGAGTTTTTCTCTTTCGTTTTGAATGCAACAAAAAGTAATATCAATTCAGCGACTCAACATTATACCCCTTTTGAACTGAAATTTAGTGGTCTACCAGGCCGAAAAAATGGAAGGTAAGTTACTATATTACAAGGGTAGATGGTTACCTGATTGGGATGGACATGCCAACTTCTTCTTTTGCCTTGCCTCTGCAAATAGCTCAAATCTCCGTGTTCTATGAGCATGTTGTAAGGCGAACCTCCTCTCATCTGTTGACCATGGTCTTCGAAAACGCCCGGTATTAATCGCAGTCTATTAGCGGGGCAAATACCCTGAAAATTAAAAAAAAAAGTAAATCATACATCAAGAGACAGAAATACAAGATTTTTTCCGAGGTGCGAGAGAAAAATAGCATTCTGTCCTGGGGTGTATATACTATTTATCACGCTGGCGAAAACACAAAAATTAAGAAAGAATAAAAATTTGGTCAAAGTGTTTTGTCATAATTAGTAGTAGTATAGTTTGTGGAATTCGTATCTTGACAACATGCATCTTGTCGACTGATTGTCGACAACCCATTGTGACAGCAAATATCAAACTGAAATTTATGAAAACATCTTTGGAAATGGTTAACAGTTATGGAACAAGAAACCGAGGGGAAACCCCAAGAAACTATTGATACTGCTTCTGCAGTGATTCTCAAAGTGCTGCCAGTGAGATCTAGAAATCTGTATGATGCAGCTTAGACTCGCTTCAGAGAAGGGTGTTCCAAAAAGAAAGCGAAGAGCTATGCGGAAAATGTAAAGTTGGTATAAGCTCCCTAGGGAGAAAATATGTCACACTATCTCCCTAGAGAATAATACCAGACTTCTGCCCCTCTTTTGATACCAGAAAAACTAACTTCTACTCTCGCCGGCGTGAATACGGTAATTAATGTTTCGGGCTAGGAGCTATTTCACTTCCAGTCAGCTGCTTAATATGATCTATAAGGCACAGATCCGATCTGTCCTGGAATACTGTTTCCATATTTGGAGTGCAGCACCCAAACATACCCTGAAACTGTTGGATTCTTTCCACAAAGGGCAATTCGTCTCGTGGGTGATGCCTCGCTCACAAACTCACTCACTTCTCTGGAACACCGTATAGAGAAGTTGGCAATCTGGCTCTATTTCATAAATATTTTCATGGACGATGCTCTTCTGAAATATCAACAATTGTTCCTTCCTTGGCAGTCCCCGCGAGATTGACCCGTCGAGTTGAGGCTTCGCACCCCTTCGTGGTCACTTTGGAGACTTGCAGAACATCTCTTTCCAAAGACTCGTTCATCCAACGAACAGCGAAGCTCTGGAGCACATTGGCAAGGGAGGTGTTCCCTCCCTTGGTTCTCACGATGTTCTCTGAACTTCACAGGATATCCCATTTCGTGGGAACCACAACATAAAAAAAAATACGCGAAACGCTCGTTGGTAACGGTGGCCATTAGCTAATCATTATTAGCCTTTGTTGTCTTTACCGTCAGGGTTGGACGAGTAGAAAATCGAGCGTACTGGATATTTTTTGTACCCCAAGGTTTTTTTGCCAGGGATGCATTACAAGGGAACAGGAAATCATTGGACGATTGAAGAGATCAAGGGATATTATGAAGTGGAAGTTTTGTAGACTGTGGATCGATGAATGAATCAGATACAAAAAGCATATCCAAAATACTACAGTAAGTTGTTATACTATATAGGTAGTGACTACTTATCAGGAAATTGTGGAAATAGGTAATCTCATCAGAAATTTATCGAGTAATCCCAGAAAATTTCAAGGTATCCTTGGATAGTTCTAGAATTACATATAGAATTGATCAAGATTGTAGGGAGAGTTGATATGATATCATTGAGTAATCCCAGAATCAAAGTCCAAGAAGAAATCAGTATCTCGTCTCGTAAATTGATTTAATAATCACAGGAAATCAAGGGATACTATAAGTAATTCATATTATAAATCGATGTATGAGGAGGTCGTTGAGTAATAAATACCAGGTTCAACTGAAGTAATCCAAGAAAATCATTGGGTAGAATAAGAAATCAGCGAATGACCCCAAGAATATTTGAAGAAGTTCAGAGTTCAAGTGAATCATCTCCAATGAATGAATGAATTATTGGCATTCAATTACTCCACTTGTCGTTAGCAACTTAAATTAGTTTCTGCAATATTTCTAACGCTTTTTTCACGTAAATATAATAAGTCTATGCGTTGTTCAAAATCTTTGAATTTCAGAGCTCATTCCACACGTAACGTCATGACCGCCATTTGGCGATACGTCGAATAAATGCTGACGTCAGTTTTAATGCTGTTTCGTTATTGGTCAGATAATCTTCCATTTCCACTCATGAAGCAAGGTTGTCAAGTCACCAATTATAATCAAGTTATCAAAAAGATGTTCGAGTCCTGTCGTTGAATAAAACATAATAGGAGGATCTCATGATATTCGAGATGATATTATAGTTCATTCTTGACTTTCTAGAGCGACCAGCATGTCCAAATATTCCTTATTCTCCATAACAAAATATCATGTGAATGTGGGAGACTTGGCAACATTGTGCTGAATGCTGAGAACTGACAAGACAACACCCACAAGTCGGGTGCGGAATTGTCACGTTCACTGATTCAAATGTCTTCTAGTATGAGTTAATATGATTATTATTTCCACAAATGTATTATGAGCAATAAGCCACAAATCATAAGAGGATACATTTTGGGACGATTGAATTTTTATTGCTCATTAGGAATATCTCCAATTTGCATGGTCCTGCGAGCCGGATTTCATGAAGGAATTTCTCTACAATAATATACGGGGCTGGTTCTCACTTTATACAACTAGTATAAGAGTTTGATAAATGAATTCTATTTTTGATATTTCAGATTGCCATTGAAAGTTTTTATTGACTTGTCATAATTATGTAAAAAAATTCTATAGTTCTTGACAACATCACCAATTGTTTTTGTAAAGGGTGCACAATAATATACAGGGTGTTTCAGTTTTTTGTAGCAGGACTTAGCTTGAAGAAGACATTTTTCTAAGATGAAAATTTCATACAAACATATATGCGTGGAAACTTCGTTTTCGATTCACAGGGTGTCAAACGAGGTGTCAAAGTTTCAGATTTTTTTTATGTTTTGAATTTTCCCGTACAATTTTCGGAATAATTGATTGAAATTTGGAACACCTAATACACTTCAAAAACTTAATATTTGAGGCTATTGAGCGTTCTTGAATACCTACAGGGTGATAGACTTTCAGGGGTCGTACCCAATTTAACCCTGTAGAACTTTTTTGCGTGCCGTCTCTGCTTTCAATGGGACATAGATTCAGATTGTCCTTTCAATTTGGAAACTTTTGCCGCAGAGGCGGCACGCAAAAAAGTTCTACAGGGTTAAATTGGGTACGACCCCTGGAAGTCTATCACCCCGTAGGTATTCAAAAACGCTCAATAGTCTCAAATATTGAGTTTTTGAAGTGTATTAGGAGTACCAAATTTCCGAAAATTGTAGGAGGAAAGTCAAAAAACATAAAAAAATCTGAAACTTTGACACCCTGTAAATCGGAAACGAAGCTCCCACGCATATATGTTTGTATGAGATTTTCATCTTGAAAAAATGTCTTCTTCAAGCTGTTGAAGTCCTGCTACAAAAAACTGAAACACACACCCTGTGTATAAAATTATACACAGTATGAGTAATTCCAGGAAATTGTAATAAATCATGTGCCAGAAATTTGAAGGATATCTAAGAATAATTCCGAAATCATTTAGGTAGTTCAAGGTCATGATGAATCATTGTATGATCTTGAGGAGTATGTTGGAAATAATCAAATCGCCTACCCCCAGGAATCAAATTAGTAATCTCTTGAAATCATTCAGAAACCCCAAGAATTCATCAATTAATCCCAATAAATTTGGATTTTTCATTTTGTACGATCGAAAAGGTGAACAAAAAAGTTTCTGAACGAAATCATGATGGATTATCCTGCTATTCCTGCTGAGATACTAATGGGTGATCCTAAATAGTTATTTGTTTAACTAGGCAGCAAAGTAGTAGATTGACTGCCGTGGCTGGAGGCTAGGAATCCAGCTAAGGCAGTCAATCTACTTTGCTGCCGAGTTGAACATATAATTTTTTCTCCGATTGTTCATAATGATATGGAAGAATATTGTATTCGCGAATAAATACAATTCCCACAATCTCTTCATTCTTCCTGTATAGTGTTCAATTAAAATAAAATTTGATAGAAATCAGTTGTTGGTTCGACAATCCATGAAATTTCTGACAGTTGTGCGAAAAAATATCGGTATATTTAAATTATTATATAATGGACAGTGATAGCGACCTGGAAGTATACTTACACCTCCATTAATAAGGGAGGTGGCAAAAAATATAGAGTTGAATTTGTTGCCGTAGAAGTCTCGGATGAAATATGAAGGAAATTATAAACGATTTATGGATTTTTAATTTTGCTCATACATATCAATCAGCAAAGTAACCACTTTGCTGCCTAGGCAGGAAAAGTAATACTTTGCTGATTGATATGTGTCAGCAAAATCAATATTTGCTGCCAATCGGAGGAAAAATACATGAACAATTATAATTGTTTTCCATTGCCTTGGTGAGACAATAAGCCATTTAAACTATAGTTCAAACTAACAAATCCATTACATCATGGCACAGTCAGAAGATAAAGAAAAAAGTTGACATAATTATGTTCAGCTTGGAGCCAACAGACAGATAGAACAATTTTTAACGTCTAGATATACACGTACAATTGTTTCATTGTCTTAGACTCCAGATCATTTTTATCATCATTATCAATAAGTACACACTTAAATGATCGGCAGATTTATTAAAATTTGAAATCAGCTATACACAAGCACAATCATTATTATTGTATACGCATGACATACAATCAGATGTTAATAACCCTGCTAAGTTTATGAATACGGTTCAGCAGAAGGTCGCCGTGTTTTAAAACTGCTTTTAGCATTTCGTTCTTGGCGTCTTGGTGTCGATTAAGTATCGTTTCGCTAACTTTATCAATTTTATAATTCAGTCTGCCTGCAGCGATCAATTTGCTCGCTTCGTTCTCGATAAAATCCAGCGAAACGCCGAACTGTTGAGCCATATAGGACAATTTGACGGACTTGTAGCTGGTCAGCAATTGGTCGTACGCTTTCGTTTTCATTTCGCGTACGTAGTATTTGTAGTGCGGATGGAGAAATTGGTCTTGTTTGAGGAATGTTTCGATATGGGCCAGGCGTCTGAAGAACACTTTGTATTCGCAATCGTAAAAGGACGACAAGTATTCGTTGAAAGTCTTGTCGCAGTGCAAGGCTTGCTTGACGTCGGGGTTGTCTATCAGCTTCTTTTTCAGGTCTCCTCTGTTCATTGCAAACATTGCAGATATGACTGTATACCTGGAAATAGTATATTGTTTAACGAGCACGGAATGATAGTGATTTCCTACGAGAATGAAGTTTGCAGCATGAGCCATAGACGAATGCTGCAATCATTCGAGTAGGAAATTAGCATCCCGTGCAAGTTATACACTATGATTTTTCTACGGCTATAATAGATAACAGCGGAATTTCAAATTTCTTCGTCTTGTAGCCATCTGATTTCCTATCAAGTAATGATCATCTATTAGACAGAGCTGTCATTGCTTCACATTGAAATTCCATGAGCGATGAGATTTTTTCGAAAAAATAACACAACGGGTCGATTCTGTTTGCAAATAAATAGCAATATGGTTGTAGAAAAGATATTGCTCTCATAGCAATATTCGAAAAAGTGGAATTCTAATCATCGATTTTTGGCGATATGATCTGTCAATTTCAATGACATCTGGTCAGCTTTCTTGCTATCTCGGCAACATCAATTTTGTGCTTGCTATCGTATAACAAGGTAGTGGATTCTTTGTTTTTGCACTACAAATTCTTCCAACTGTACGAAAATTCAGAAAATATTAGAATAGTGATTACAAACATATAGGATATGTTCACTACTGTGACCAACTACTTGAAAGCCTTTTCTTGAAGTTCCAATTTGTAGAGGGAATATGAGACTACAATTTCGGCATATTAGAGAAATTTCAGTTACCTGATGGATAGTTTATCAAGCTATTTTGCTAAAATGTTGAAAAAAATCACGATTATTTTCGTCCGACTTTTAGTAGTTTTCTCATTTCGGGGACATGATTGATTACTTGCACCAGTCGCAAAACGACGACCAGATTCAGCAAATAAAAAATCTCTCGATTTGATTTGGATTTTGTAAAATGTCAGTGGACTGACTATGAGAGGGTTAGATAATCATGAACTCTTCTTCTTCATGAAATAATGACAAAATCGATACCTAACACTTAAACAATGAGTTTAAAACAGTGTTGTCAGCTAAAAAATTCTCAATTTTTCAACAATATATTGCTATCACTTGAACTTATAACCAGTCTTGCAGTTACTCTGCAAACAGAATACAGAACTTCATAGCAATATTGTTATATGTTATGATCATAACAATATTCTTTCCTCTAGATAAACTTTTACCACTCTCTACTTCTACAATTAATCCTAATATAGCTTCAACTTTTGAGCTATTCTACCACATTCGCACCTTCTACTCTCTACTTCAATATTGTATTTTATAGTTAAACTTCTACTCTATATTTCTACAATTCCTATCTAACTTCTACTTCTTAGCTCTTCTGCTATATACAGGGTGAATCATGAGGAACTGTACATACTCCTGTGTCTAATGACCATCAGAAAGTATCTTCTTCTCTTCTTTAGCAATATATAGGGTGAATTATGAGATTTCGCAAAAACATCTTTTGGGCATAACCGAGGGCATAACTTTACAACAGCTCCTCCGATTCATCTGTTTTTTCATGGAATATTCCTCTACTAAACCCTATAATCGATTGACATTTCCAGAATCGGAAAAATCCAGGATTATTTTTGAAAATTTTCGAAAGTTCAGTTTTTATCAAAAAGTTCATCCTGTATATGGTTTTTGAAAATTGTGACAGGAAATTTTCAAAGCACACTAACGATAAATTTTGAGCAAAAACGAAAGTTTGACAACAAATTCATTCATCCGCAAATAATTACTTCGCAACGCATAAACTTCACAAATAAAAGTAAGACTTACAGTTTCAATGCTTTAGCCCAATGGAAATCAACATGTTCTTGCATTTTCAGGCCTGGATTTTGTCATCTCATTTTTTGTGGAGGGGGAGGGTAATAATCATCCTGTAGAGTTGATCTTTTTCGAATCAGTGGATGAGGTATCTGTTTAGATGTTAATGGTCATAGATTCAAATAATTCAAGATAGCCGAACAGAAAATAAAGGTTTATTTACAATTATTTTCCAAAAGCTATACTGACAAAGGCGGATAATAATTCTAGTACGGACAATAAGTGACCAAATTAACTGAATAAAACAAATCGAATAGATAATATTGTGAATTGAAATCATAAGATTATGAATCCAATGATTCGAAAAAGATCTACAGGGTGATTATTATCATTCACAAAAAAATTTAATTACTGAATCCAGGCCTGAAGATAAAATAATGTGTTGATTTCCATCGAGCTGAAGCATTGAAAATGTAAGTCTCACTTTTATTCGTAAAATTCATGGGTTGCGAAGTATAGATTTCCCGAGAGATTTCCAAACAGATATTTTTTTTGCCAAAGGACCCCGCACAAAACCATGGGGAATTGGCCCACAGTGGGATTTGCCTGAAATTCACATATCTTATTGGTATGGAGTTTCTGATCAAATGTTTTCATGTGACCAATCCTCTAAGACCAAAGATTTAGCTCTCAGGGCCGTATTTAGTATAGGTGCCAAATAAACAATGACACTTTTTTTTCAAGCCCATGATTTTTGTATCTCCCATAATAATTCAATTGAATGAGAAATGTTGCGAAATCTTGGCATTCGTCTTTCAGCACAAGTCCTCTATAAAACATGCCTTGTCCTACAGGATCGTATTTAGTAAAACTGTATTTGCCAAAGTGCTGAATCGAATTGATTCTGTTATTACTTTGTTATTTCTTGTCCTATTTCAGTGGTCGTTTGATAGATGAATGTAGATTTCTTTGTATACATAACAAAAGTGGTCACCATCTTAATATTCCCAAGATTGTCGTCCTAACATTTAATCTCAATGTAGGACATATATCTCGTATCTTTTTAGGAATCATAGTAACAGGAAAAGATATAAGAACACGTTTCGATTGTTGAAATCGGTCATTTACTTTTTCAATTACCTAACTCTATAATATAAATATAACTCTACTATCTTATTAAAACTTCATCTAATTCATTACTAACAAAGTTGAAACCGATATTTACAGGGTGGTGAACAAAAAAATCGAGCACTCACTATCAACATAATTCCCGAACACTTACAACTGCTGGAGTATTGCATCTTGCACTGGACGATTTTCGGCATCTTTAATATGCTGTAACACATAAGTCGATGGATAATTCACATTTTGATTATGGTGGGCGAATCCTGAATACCACAATATGCTACAAATATGAGCACATGTTCCTGCCCCTGATTTGCAACTGCAGTAGTATCCTATTATCAATACATCTTCTTCATTATTCTCGTCAGGATGGTTTTCATGCGGAGTGTATTGAATGAATACTTGATATTTTTTTTCCTCCTGAATCGAGAATACACTCTCCATAGATAGGTGTGGAAATCGAGGAACATGCTCATTATTAAGTTGCTGCCATATCCACTTTTGTTATGAGCACAAAAAATCTATATTCATCTATCGAACAACCACTGAAATAGGACAAAAAAGTAATAACAAAATCAATTCGATTCGGCACTTTGGCAAATACAGTTTTACTAAATATGGTCCTGTAGGACAAGGCATGTTTTACAGAGGACTTGTGTTGAGAGACAAATGACAAGATTTCGAAACATTTCTCATTCAATTAAATTATAATGGGAGATACAAAAATCATGGGCTTGAAAATAAAAGTGTCATCTTTTATTTGGCACCTATACTAAATACGGCCCTGAGAGCTGAATCTTTGGTCTTAGAGGATTGGTCACATGAAGACATTTGATCAGAAACTCCATACCAATAACATAGGTGAATTTCAGGCCAATCCCACTGTGGGCCAATTCCCTATGGTTTTGTGCGGGGTCCTTTTCGTTTTTTCATGTAATTCATAGTTTTTTTCAAACTGCAGTGAAAGTGTGAGGAAAATTCGAAATATTTTATTCCTGATGTTGGTTTGTGACCTTTGAAAATTCCCAATCACAGTTTACAAAAACGATATACAGGATGAATTTTTTGTTATAAACAAAACTATCAAAATTTTTCGAAAACGGTCCTGGATTCCCCCGATTCTGAATAAGTCAGTCGATTAGAGAGTAGTAGCGGAATACCTATTCCGTGAAAAAATCAGACGAATCAAAGAACCTGTTGGAAAGTTATGACCAAAAGATATTTTTGCCAAATCTCATAATTCACCGTATATATTGGTAAAGAAGAGGAGAAGACACTTTCTGATGGTCATTAGATATTACCCTCAAGGGCCTCTATTCGTGGTAGGAGTATGTACAGTTCCTCATGACTCACCCTGTATATCTTTCACTCCCTTCTTCAACTCTCTATTTCAATTTCTAAGCTTGAGTAGCGAGTATACCAATACCTTATGAACTTCTCATAAGAAATGACTTCCATGCAGACGAACGTCGATATGCAACCGACCATAAGGTCAGCAGCCGTGGTAAAATCCCTGGTGGCCAAAGCAAAAAGAGCCTTGTAGGTCTTGTAGCAATTTCGACTGTGCCAATTGGCCCCCTCTTCAATGAGGAATTCGGCGAGTCTGAGATGGTCTCCGACGGAAATCAGATCATTGAAGAAGAAGTCGATGCGGATACGATGGAAAACGTTGTCGAGCTTGTATCCCAAAGCGACTGTTAGTTCGAAGGCCTCGGCTAGGGTTCTGAGCGAGTCGTTTTTGGCGCCGATTTTGCTGAAGAGGGAACACTTTGCACTTGTCGTGTGTGATCAATCATTTTTGTTTAGTACTTTCACCCTATATATACTTTCACCCTATATAATTAGTTGGATAACTGGATTACCCTATATAAAATAACATTTGAGTTGTTAACACGACGACGTGTTGTTGAAAAAGAAGAATTCATAAATAGTTGAGGGGAAATTGCAATTGATTGCAATTTCTCTTATATTCATCGTTTCATCAGTTTCTTACCAAACAATCACAATTATATACATTTCACTCATCACCAAAGCTTCGAACATATTGGTCCTTCGAGCCGGATTATCCTGACTATTGACATGTTTCCATTGATAACACTCAGTGTATCTCTGAATTTCTGTAACTCTATGAGCCACAAAGGTTTTTAGTGAACTTAGTTCTGTATCGATCCATGACAATATTATTGTAGAATCACACTAATAAAAACAATTGATATTTTTATTGATTGCCTGAATTATCTGAAACGTGAAATAATTGAAAAAATGTCATCTTGAATTGTTGGACCTACTTTGAGAGTATCGTTCAAAGAAATATTAGAAGTAGTTTTCATTGATGCATCGAAAACTATCCTCAATTTTGTAGTTAAGCTGTCAGTTTTGATTACTCCATGATCAGGTAAATGAAAACAAGGAACGGTTTGTTCATGATGATCAATTTTGGTCATGTGCCCCAAATTTTAATATTCGTTCATGAATTCAATTTAATGTTTTTTGAGATCAGGATTTTTCGATAATCTTTTTTCGATAGCATGGAATCTTTTAATTGCAGATTTCTGTGAATTTCCCAATTCTGTTACATTTTTACGAAATGGTAAATTCACTATGATTCTACCAGTTTGATCATGTTTGATTGTTTTCATATAATATTCTTCACATTCACTTTCCTCCTAAGAAAGCTTAGGGGTTGAGAGACAATCCTCTATTTTCCAAAATTTCTTGATTTGATTATTGGCTATTTGGGTATTAATGGGACCGAAACAACCCAACCTAACAGAGTGTTTTGTAATACGGGATGGTGTTTTCCTAGTTCTATCTGATCTGGACATAACAAACTCCAAAAGAGTTGAGATCCTAAAAGTATATCGATTTGTCCTGTTTTATATAACTTTGGATCTGCTAGCTAGCGTTATATTTATTGAGAAGTTATTTTGTTTAACAATGAAAATTCTAAATTTGTTCTGAATGAAGTATTTTGAAATATAAATGTAGCAGTTGCTTTTCAGAAACATTTGACTGCGCTTGATTTATACCAATAACCCCTAATTCAATTTTAGTTTTAGTTTAGCTCTTGCTTGATGCATTATTGTTCCCTGGCCATCGGGTATTTGAACAATTGGCGGAATGTTTAGTACTTTCACCCTATATATATACTTTCACCCTATACAGTGAGGGGCAATATTATGGAATAAATTCATTTTTACGAGAATAGGCAACTTTTGAGACAAATCCCGAAACACGTCGATTTTTATTTCCAAATTATGATTTTGTGGCAGATATGTCATACTAGTGACGTCATCCATCTTTGCGTGATGACGTAATCGATGATTTTTTAAAATGAGAATAGGGGTCGTGTGATAGCTCATTTGAAAGGTTATTCAATTCTCTATGCAGTGATATGAACATTAACATAATTATTTATACAGGGTGGCCAAAAAAATATTTAATTTGTAAATGAAATTAATTGTCACAAAAAGAAGTATTATCATTTATTTAATACAAAATTACATTGTACTACTGTCGGAAAACAGAAAAACAAATTAGTTGACAAATAAAAATTGCTTTTCGCTTAAATTAAATGTTCAAATTGCCACCCACCTGCCTCTTGGCAGTAATTGAACGGACGAATACATTCTTCTTGAACATTGTGGATCATTTCTGGAGTTGAATTACGAATTTCCAATGTAATGCTATTTGTCAAATCTTGGAAATGTGTGGTCTATCGGCGATCTGGATCATCCTCATTGATTTTGTCTACGATTGAAACACTTGAAACAGTTTATAAATAAATGTTTAGAACTGGTGTGCTTTCTACTACTACACTGAAAAAACAGTTTATTCATAGTTAACGAAATTAATTAACACCTAATAAATCATTTATTCGAATATTGCGGAATAAACGTTTATTTATTAGAAACAAATAATTCATTAAAATTATTTGAATATTCCTCATTGATAGTTAATTCAAATTGATTTCCAATAAATATATGTCTCACTATAGATTTATCAACTGTAAATAAAACATTATTCATAATGAATAAGGAATATTTATTAATATTATATATGTCATTACCATTTAATAAACACATTTTTATTATTAATATGTTTCATTCATTGAAAATAAACGTTTGTACACAACAAACCTCAGCATGTTTTCTAATAAATAAAGCATATTTATTGACCTTACATATTTTATTATCTATAAAAAAATACGATTGACACTTAGAACTTAAACATTGTTTCAATTTATATAGCTCTTTTATTGCTCTGCCCATAGACGTTTTTTCCAATAACTCCGATAAATTGAAATCATTTAATAATGATTCAGTACTGATGATCGATGGTTCCACTTGAGGCTTTGAGAGAGGTAGATGTTGAGGTTGAGCCATTTTCATCATTTTCCTCAATATGACTGGAACCTTCAGTAGACTGATCGTTTACATCTACAATGTATATTTTATTGGGTGGCTCAGATTCTTCAATATAGTGTCATAGTCATGTCTAAAAATGAAAAAGACTACAGTGTTTCATTTACCTACATATATTAGGTATCCAATTGCAATGTGTAAAATCAAAACATTATTCACACCAGACATATATAGTTACATAATAATATTATCAGCCTGTTCTTGAGATTCGATTTGAGATTGTTCAAAAATCATCAACTTGTATTTTCACTTAATCCTTTGTCCTAACTGGGGTACTAATACTCTGTATTCGTCAGGTTCACGAATAATTTCTTTGAGTGTCGTTATGCTATCGACGCCATTTGCTACAAACACAATTTCCTGTTAAATCAATGATATATTAATTAGAGAACAAAGTTGTTAATAGCTAATCAGGTATTATTATTTTTGTATAGCTTGATATAAAATTTATGAATAAAAAATCGGGTTTTTTTGTTATGAAAAAATATTATTGATTATTAATAAACCAATAGCGTCGCGAGAGGAGCCTTCTGAAATCGAACATTCAATATGGAAGAAATTGGAATCAATTCACTCTTTACAAAATTACCTTCACATATATTTATCAATTCCACAAAACCGTTGTCATTCAGAAACTTTTCCAGCTCCTGGACCTGATCCATTATGGCGCGAGACAGCCTTGATATGCCTTGGTGAACTGCGTTATATAGAGATACCTATAGGTACTTGTAACTTTTTCAACAGAAGCTGCACAACTCACAACACAATAAATGGCACCACACAAGTAACGCACGCGCACGACTGCAAACAACGAAAGAACGAAACACGAAACCCGGACCCCCGACCGACGTACGACGTGACACGTGTCCCATTATGAAGCCACCACGGCGTGACGGCACCTATCGAGGCGATTTTATACTAATGTTCAGCGCCGTATTTTCAATGAATATTTATCATCTGGCACTAAGACTTATTCACTTTAAATAAACTCAAAATTAATAATGAATACAATTTTAGTAATATCACCCAACAAACGATTTCATTAGTAGTAAATTTATATTGTTAATTATAAATATATCGACCTCAAACAAACTATTTATTTTTTATTAACAAATCATATTATCGCGTTCACTAATATTAAATGAAATATCCTAATAAAAAATAAAATGTTCTTTCCTTTATTCATTGTAAATAAAAGGCACCCAAACAAATATTTATTAACTATGAGCCCTATCTTTTTTTTCAGTGTATGAAGAAACAAAAATAAATTCCGATATTAGGCAAATAAATAATGAGAACTAAAAAGATAGCAAAAAGTATAGTTTTTACAAATCGAGTTGGCTTGGGTCAAATGTAAGTCAGTTCTTGACATTTTCTCATAAGGACTAGTTTATTTCATGAAATAAATAAATAATGGCCCCATTAACTGAAACACAAAGAATCGAAGTATTAATTATGGTTGGATATAGAGATAGAACCAGAACACAACAAGAAGTATGTAATTTATTTACCATAAAATATCCTAATACGCCTACACAATCCACTGTTAGTAAAATTGAGAAGAAATTTAGAGAAACTGGACACGTGAAACATGTTGCAAATGCTGGTCGTCCACCAATGAATGAGGATGTGAAACTGTCTGTATTATTAAGTGTGGCAGAGAATCCTCAAATTAATTCTAGGCAAATTGCAGCTGATACAAACATTTCTAAAAGGTCTGTTTTACGTGTGCTGAAAAAAGAGAAATATCATCCGTATAAAATTCATAATGTCCACGAAATCAATGAGGATGATCCAGATCGCCGAATGCAGTTTTGTGAAGTAATGCAAGATTTATGTAATCAAAATCCACGCTTCATTCGTGAAATCCTTTTTTCTGATGAAGCAACCTTCTGTTTAAATGGAACAGTGAATCGGCAAAACTGCAGATATTGGAGTCAAGATAATCCCCATTGGATGACTGCGGTACACACTCAGCACCCTCAAAAACTAAACGTGTGGGCAGGGATAGTCGAGGATAGAATTATAGGTCCTTTTTTCTTCGATGGGTCTCTTACGGGGCAAATATATCTTGATTTTTTACAAAATGAACTTATACCCGCCCTTACAGACATGTTTCCAAATGAAAATGATCGTAATTCGCCAAATGAAAACATATGGTTTCAGCAAGACGGTGCACCTCCGCACTTTGCACGTCCTGTTCGTGATTTTTTAAACAGATGTTTCCCTAGGAGATGGATTGGTCGACGAGGAACAATAGAGTGGCCCGCAAGATCTCCAGATCTTACACCACTTGATTTTTTCCTATGGGGTTACTTAAAATCAAAAGTTTACATCGATAGACCACAGAATTTACAAGATTTAAGAAATAGAATTAGATTGGAAATTCGTAATATACCTCCAGAAATGATCCACAATGTTCAAGAAGAATGTATTCGTCGGTTCCATTACTGCCAAGAGGCCGGTGGGTGGCAATTTGAACATTTAATTTAAGCGAAAAGCAATTTTTATTTGTCAAATAATTTTTTTTTTCTGTTTTCCGACAGTAGTACAATGTAATTTTGTATTTAATAAATTATAATACTTCTTTTTGTGAAAATTAATTTCATTTAAAAATTTTGTTCTAAAATTTGTTCTATCCGTCATTCGGTTGCCCCCTTACGAGCAACCCTCAAAAGTCTTCGAAAGTCTTGTGCGAGCAAGGAATGACGGGGGCCTTACCTTTTAACGTGTGATCCCAAACACTTTCTTGGGCCATCAGAAAAATTTCTGCAGTCGACGGGGATCGAACCCACGACCGGCAAGCGAATGCGAATTAGAATATAGACACTCTGTCCGCACGGCTACCTGGCCACACAAATTAAATATTTTTTTGGCCACCCTGTATAAATAATTATGTTGATGTTCATATCACTGAATAGAGAATTGAATAACCTTTTAAATGAGCTATCACACGACCCCTATTCTCATTTAAAAAAATCATCGATTACGTCATCACGCAAAGATGGATGACGTCACTAGTATGACATATCTGCCACAAAATCATAATCTGGAAATAAAAATCGACGTGTTTCGGGATTTGTCTCAAAAGTTGCCTATTCTCGTAAAAATGAATTTATTCCATAATATTGCCCCTCACTGTATAATTAGTTGGGTAACTGTTCCCTATATGAAATAATAACATTTGAGTTGTTAACATGACGTGTTGTTGAAAAAGAAGAATTCATAAATAAAGTTGAGGGGAAATTGCAATTTCTCTCATATTCATCGTTTCATCAGTTCCTTACCAAACAATCACAATTATATACAGTCCACACATCACCAAAGCTTCGAACAATTTTTCATAGATATTGCAACAGCAATTCGAATTTTTGACAGTTTTCAAACTTGTCGAACGATCGTTAACAGGCCTATTCAGTGAAAAGTCGTTATCTTACGAGTCGCTAGATAACAACTATCGTTATCCTAATATGTAACGACAATTCGAAAAACTTGATGAAAAAATGCATTCTGTAAGATATGTCGTTGAAATATTCGAAAATTAACAAGAATAAGTCTATATGTTCAGAATAGATAGTATGACATAATGTGACAAGAATTTGACAAATCGTTATGTATTTTGTATATCATATAGATCAGAGATCTTCTACCGAGTCTTCTACTATAATAATTGGAAAAAATAATGTTTCTAAGAGAAGTAGGATTGCTTACAGTCACTGGAGTGCTAAAATATTCAAACAGTGATTCGTTATTATTTGAATATACGTGGAGGAACTGCAGGGAAATAAATACTTTCCATCTAATCAATATGAACCCACAAACCCCAATATCCTGGAAGGAACTTGGAGTGGATTGGTTTAATACTTATGGACGAGTGAATAATTATTCGAAACCGATAATTCACCCTGTATCTCTGTTATAAAGACTGTGAGAATGAGTGAGTTTTTTCGAACGATCATTTAACAAGAAAATATCAAATAATCATAATTGAAAGTAATTTCATAATTTCAATACTCTTCAAATTGACATACTTTCAGTTTTCTGTTTATGTTTGTTACGATTAGAATTGTTGGCGCGAAAACAAGCATCAAATCCATATCAGTTTTTCCTCCTCTTCACGATTCCTTTGATGAACCCTGTCAATTATTACATACATTTTGTGTTATTTTAATATTTCGAATAAATGTAAATTTTTCCTGAATCCGAACCTGGATTTTCACTTTGCCCGATAGGTGAATAAATTCAACGATACTTATAGACGAATGAATAATTATTCGAAATCGATAAATCGCCCTGTATCTCTGTTATGAAGACTCTGAGACCTATCAAATATGGTATTTTCAAAACCACCTTGGTGACCCCTATGTACCATTGAAATATTTCCCTTTATCTGTGAAACACCCTGTATAAGTGTTTTTCCCGCATTATTGTGAGAAAACCTTTCCCGCACTACTACGGAAAAATGACCCTTTGCAAACTAAATTGCGTGCGGGTATAGGGTGAATCACGCGCACGCTTGTAGAAAAAAGTATACAGGGTGTTATTTAAGTACGTGGCCAAACTTGAAGGGGTGATTCTTCGAGTGATTCTAAGACGAAAAGTTCATATAAACATAGGTCCGATAATGCTTCGTTTTCAAGATACAGGGTGTCAAAATTTTTAAAAGAAATCGTTTTTTTCGTAAATATCTTAATAACCCTTCAACCGATTTTATTGAAATTTGGTAGTGATATTCAAGGTCGTAAAGGGCTAATTCAACCCTAACTATATCAAAATTATCATGTCCAGTGGCGTCCCGGAAGGCACTGTAACCAATATTTTTGACAGAAAAAATGTGCGCCACTGATTTTTTTGCAATTTTTGTATCTGTTTCACATTGAGCAACTAAAATTACAATTTTTTTATATCTAGAATTTTTTTCGTATCTTGCTTTGTTTTTGAGAAAAAACATAAAAATCACTTCATTGCACATCCCTCTGTGACAACACAATAAAACATTTCAACTACTAAACCATCAGAAACTGGGGTCTTACTAATATTTTTTCATATTAATACTCTATTCTAGTCATGGAATTTTATGTCAAAATTAATGCAATGAATGTATGAATTGCAGCACTTGCCTTCGGCTCTTGGCTTCGGCTCGTCACAGGGATGTGCAATGAAGTGATTTTTATGTTTTTTCTCAAAAACAAAGCAAGATACGAAAAAAATTCTAGATATAAAAAAATTGTAATTTTAGTTGCTCAATGTGAAACAGATACAAAAATTGCAAAAAAATCAGTGGCGCACATTTTTTCTGTCAAAAATATTGGTTACAGTGCCTTCCGGGACGCCACTGGACATGATAATTTTGATATAGTTAGGGTTAAATTAGCCCTTTACGACCTTGAATATCACTACCAAATTTCAATAAAATCGGTTGAAGGGTTATTAAGATATTTACGAAAAAAACGATTTCTTTTAAAAATTTTGACACCCTGTATCTTGAAAACGAAGCATTATCGGACCTATGTTTATATGAACTTTTCGTCTTAGAATCACTCGAAGAATCACCCCTTCAAGTTTGGCCACGTACTTAAATAACACCCTGTATAGTACCAATCGAAAGAAAATCCAGAGAGAAGAAGTCGTGGATGTCTGATTACTAAAAAATGACTGATCACATGACAAGTGCCGAAATGTTCAATTACCTGAGATAATTAGCTTTATTCAGATAGGCCTCTTTCACTTCAATCGAACTCGAATTGCTCGCCGCGTACTCGATCTCTTTGTCGAATTCTTCTAGCGCCTTTGTGTTTTTCTCTTTCATTTCTTTCAAAATGTCCGCGTCGACCTTCCATCCGAGGTCGTCGCAAACGATTTCGTAATAGGGGGCCATGTCGTTGTCGAACAGCGCCTTTTCTAGTTCCTTTTTCTCTTCGTCCGTCTCTTGTAGGGTCAGCGAGAATTTCAGTTGCGAGATGTCCAAGTCAGGGTTTTTTTTAGGTTCTTCACTGTCCAATTTTTCTGTTTCCATTTTGCGAAAAATGCTCACGTCAAATTTGACTTATTATATTCTCATTGTAGAGATGTATAGAAAGGACCCCGCACTTTTAGTACGTAAAATGGTTCTCGGTGAAATTTTATGAATTTTCAGTATGTTGTAGAATTCTATGAACTGATTGAACCTGCAGAATCGTAAAGTTCTTTGATGAACAGATTCTGAGATACAGGGCGTTGAAGTTACAAATCGGTATTTTTCATTTAATTATTTTCTCGACATTCAAAGATGCCAAGTACAATTTTTTTCGCTCATATCATCAACGAACCTCCATATTACTCAACATAATTCAGATGGTTCAGATAACGTAATTGTTTACAGAGTGAAACATATAAACATTTCAGTGATGTCTGAAAATTCGATGTAATAATGAAATATCGAAAAAATAATTTAGGCATGCAATATACTATTCTCATTCCATCATTAATCACAATTCATACATTTCATACAGGGTGATTTGAAAAATTGGTGACACCTAAGACCGATTAATTCATACACATCCTGTATATTCGAGTGAATTGTTAACCTCCCAAGATAGCTGATACCGTATGAACATGATTTCGTTGAGATAATTATATAGGGTGATCAATGATAGATAGATATTAATTCAGGAACTTACCATTTGCATGAAGAGTTGAAGAGACACATAAATAGTGAAACGCGAGAATGTGGAGACGAAAATAAGTTTAGTATTCATATACAGGGTGAACATTAGAAATTCAATAACAATAGCAGATATATGAATTTAATAATATTAATATAATGTTCAGATAGTTAGGCGAATTTCGTTGGTATACAGCGTAAGCGTAATATATCAATCAACGGTTTCAGTCAAATTTTTTGATTTCGGAATGAAAATTCAGCAGATTCGGTACTGTCAATTGATTTCGGAATATAGCTCGGAATATAGCCTATCTGACCAATAACGAAACAGCATAAAAATTGACGTCACCATATATTTGACGTATCGCCAAAGGGCGGTCATGCCGTTACGTTTGGAATGACCTCTAAAATTCAACGATTTTGAACAACGCATATATAGACTTATTATTCACATAAACAAAGCGTGAAAAGTATTGCAAAAATCAATTTAGGTTTCTAACGACATAGTGATGGAGTAATTAAATGCCAATAATCAATTATCAGTCCACTCGTCCATTGTATTTATTGAAATTATTGTTTTGCATCATTTTCCTTTATCTCGAGAACCGTAATGTGCTCTGCTAACAATCTTTATGATGAAAAAGTATGCGAACCGATATTGAACTGGCTCGAAATCAGGTCATCCGTTAGAGATACCTACCTGTGATATGAATTATTGAAAAGAGTGCAAAAATGATTGGTTTACCTGTTTCCCTCTTAGAGAGCACAGCCACCATCCTTCGATATTTGCGGTATTCTGCTCTAGAACGATGAGGGTGTCTCCTTTACGGAAATTCAGTTCGTCGGGTGTGTCAGGGATGTTATCGTACAAAGCTCGGGCCAAACAGTGCTGAAAATACGAACAAGCGTTTTTAAAATAGTAATTTACGTAACAAGTCCGGAAAATATTGTTTTTTTTTTGGACGAGTGGACAAAATTCTAATTCGGCAACCATGTAGAATAACAAATCAATGAGACACATTTCCATATTATATTTCTTTGTAGGATACAATTTCTTCTTTATTAATTCTCATTTGTATCAAATACTGAAATTTGAAAAGAATATATACCTATACCTACTAACTGTTACATTGGAAATTTCGTATGGACATTTTCAAACTCACTATCGCAGCTGCTTGCGATAGTTCATTATACCATCAAACTTTCAAAAATCCAAATGTCAGATAATTTCATGTCAAATAGCTGTCAGCCGATATTTCGCTGCTATGGTAATTATCATCTGCATTTATCAAAACCATATCCACCAAGATTTTCATAGTTACAGTGACAACAACGATGTGATACTTCACGGCTTAGTCCGGGAAGTACGTACTTCTCGGACTAAGCCGGACTAGGCCGGAACTTTCTCAAAGAAAAAACGTCCGGGAAGTGAGTACTTTCTGGACGGCATTCCAAGAAATTGAAGTTGTTTGTTCACCAGAATTATACCGCACTTCACACATGGAATTCCAAGAATTTCCTAGGAATTCCAGGGAATTCCAAGATAACCCAAGAAATTACAAAGCAATCCAAGGAATTCCAAGAAAATCCAAGGAATTCCAAAGAAATCCAGGGAATTCCAAAGAAATCCGAGGAGTTCCAAGGAAATCCGAGGAAAGCTAAGGTATTTCAAGGAATTCCAATTGTTTCTAGACCAGGAATATACCGCATTTCACCCAAGGAATCCCAAGAAACTCCAAGGAATTACAAGAAAATCCAATGAATTCTCAGAAAATCCAAGGAATGCTAGGCAATTCCAAGTAATTCCAGTTGTTTGTACACCAGAATTATACCGCACTTCACCCAAAGAATTCCAATGAAATCCAAGGAACTCCACGGAGTTTCAAGGAAATCTAAGGAATTCCAGTAGTTTCTAGACCAGGAATATACCGCATTTCACTCAAGGAATTCCAAAGAAATCCAAGGAATTCCAGAGAAATCCAAGAAATTCCAAGGAATTCCAAGGAAATCCAAAGAATTCCAAGGAAATTCGAGAAATTCCAAGGAAATTCAAGAAATTCCAAGAAAATATAAAATTACAGTTTTATACCAGAATTATACGCAGTTCATACCCAAAGAGTTCCAAGGAAATCCATGGATATCCAAGGAATTCCAAGGATATCCAAGGAACTCCAAGAAGTTTCAAGGAAATTCAAGGAGTTCCGAGGAAATCCAAGGAGGTCCAAGGATATCCAAGGGATTCCAAGGAATTTCAGATGTTTATAGACCAGGAATATACCGCACGTCACCAAGGAATTCCAGGGAATTCCAAGAAAATCCGAGGAAATTCAGAGAATTCCAAGAAAATCCAGAGAATTCCAAGAAAATCCAAGGAATTCCAGTTGTTTGTATACAAGAATTCCACCGCGGATTACCCCTCCTAAAAAAAAACGAGTAAAAAATGCACTACATACACACAGACACGCACCCTCTCAGACACACGCCGATACAGGTGGAACTGAATAAAAGCTTGTAATTGTAATAATATCCGAAAACGAAAGCCCCCACATAAAAGTAATTTCGAATATAATCGGACCATATTCACAAAATCCATCCGCCATGTTGAAGCCGCCATCTTGAATTTCTCAATTTTGAAGAAATAATCGTAACTTTCGATCCAGAAAACCCCCAGATACAGATTTTGAATAGTATCGGATCATAATTACTAAATTGGTTCACCATATTGGACCCGACATCTTCCCGAAAAACGCCTGATACAAATGTAGTAGGTATAGGTATAATTATTCTAGTAATTCTTAGAGTTTCAGCTGATCCTTGTTTGAGTGAATTAATGATCAAACTAATTGATGTGTTATATGATCCTAAATATGGATGACATGACAAACAAGTTATTTTTTTTTGTACTGTCATTTTCTTTCAAGACCGCCATATTGGAGCCACCATATCGGAGCCCCCATCTTGAAATTTTCAATTTTGACAGAAGAACTATAATAGCCGACCCCAAAAACCCTCAGATATACCAATTCTGACTAGAATCGGATCCTAATTACAAAAATCATCCGCCATTTTGGAGCCGCCATTTGGTTTTGTACCTAACAAAAATGTCATGATGCATTGTCACCAGAATCAGACGATTATAGAAGTATGTCATATTAAACCTCGTATTCAACTTGGAAGATTTGATTACACACAGATAATTTCTACCGAGTTTTTCGATTTTTATATCGTCTAATAAATTTTCCCGACTTCAATCTGAAACACCCTGTATATCGAAATATTCATTTCGTGTTCACCCAATGTCAATTTGTGTCAATTTTGATTATCAATTTCATTCAAATTACTTGGAACGTTGCACAGCTACAAACTCTCTCTGCCTAGGTAGATAAAGTACACCTTTGCTGCCTGTTAAGTGTAATGAAAAGCCACTTTCTAGGCCGAATAGAGAAAAAAGTTGTCTTTTTAATTCGACTCAATATAGTCCAGTATCTTCTCATTCATGATTTGGTCAGAATATAGTACCTACCGACGACTTCGAATTCCCATACTTTCTGAGTCATACAGCCAAAGTAAAATTAACTAGGGCTTTTCCTCTAAATCCAAGTTAATTCATCTAGTTCATTTCCACCCTAATATTCGTTACATCTGTCGAATTGTCGTATTGTGAGACGGGCGTAGTTTATGCCATTGTCGTATATTGGCTTGTATCCATCAGTCATCAGTCTATGTCAACTGAGATGACCTCATTTCTCTCAACTGCAATAACAGTCACACCCTTTACCCTCTCTAGGAGGCGAGAATTGACCAGCCCCGGGGTTCATCGCGGGAAAGAGAAGGACGTATAACTCGCTCTCGCTCAGATGAACCTTTTTTCTTGAAGAAGGAGAATTTTTCTTGAGGAAGGAAAATATTGTTTCTGCATAAAAAATGAGAAAACCTAACCTATCTATTTTATGAGTATATCTGTACTTGTTTCGTTGACCTATGTAAAACTTAATGTTTATTAACACCAAATAAAATATTCTATTCTATTCTAACCTAACCTAACCTAACCGAACCTCACCTCTGGCCTAAACCACAAACATAGAAAACCCCTAAATGAACCTATTTCCCATAGAGAATATTTTTTAGAAATCACTTGAGAACAAGGAAAAAATAAAAAAAAGATGAGCCTCGCACGGATTCGAACCCCGGCCCGCCGGCTTGGCATGCCGATGCTCTGCCTACTGAGCCAACCAGTTACCAGTTGCTTACGAGACGAAGTATGATGAAGTACTGTGCTTCGGCTATGTGCCAAATGCATTCTCGCGAGTGAGAGGGCATTATATGTCCTTCTCTCTCCCGCGATAAACCCCGGGGCTTGTCAATTCTCGCCTCTAGGAGGGAAACAGCAGGGTCATTATATTACGTTTCCTGCTAGAAAGCGGAAAACATGCACTCATTTTTTCACTTATAATACCACAAGACCTTCAATTATTACCGGAAATCTTTGGGAGAACACGAATATTATGAGAATTTTCCCGAATTGAAGTTGAAGACGAGGTGGAATTTTCGGTTTTTAATTGAAGCTATAAAGAGGTATTCGGTAAGAAAATTTCACAGCGGAATTCTCGGCGGAATTTGGTAGTGGGAGTGGTCGATCAGACTATTATTCTTGACAAACTATATTCCACTAAAGTTGGTTGAAATATTTTTGTTACAAGGAACTCGACATCGAGTGTTTGCCCCTCGCTCGACATGCAGTATTATGTACTTTTGACTCGGTTTTGACATACTTTAGTTACACAAAATAATGAATAAATCGGTAGTAGCTCAATTTCTCAGTTTTCCACAAATTCATTTTACTAAAGGTGGTAGACATACAGGGTGAGTCATAACTAACCAGCTATAGCCTAATGGCGGATAGAGGAGGTCCAGGTGAGGTAAAGGTATATGTGAAAAAATATATTTGGCCTATTCGTAACAGAAATACAGGACATTATTATTTGAATGGGCTCATATCACAAAAAAAATTTATTTCATAATTCGATAGAACTCACCCAAACCATAGATACCACCGCAAACCGTTTCTTGCTGTGAGCTCCCTACGTTTTATAAAAAATTATTGAAATCTCCGATTTTTCCGACCTCTGAGGCGATGATTTGACGTCAAAACCCTAATACTGAAACAAGACTATTCCAGACAGAGATGAATGATTCATGATTTCTGACAGAGTGAATTAGCGCGAGATCACAGTTGAAAGAATTAATATATCAGTTGCCTCAGTCTCCGTCGGGCGTTTGGTATTTTCTTTTTAATATGGCGAGATGAGGTTTCTACGTCATAAGAGGGTCCGTTTTCAGAAGGTACTATTATTTATGTCCAAAAATAAAACATTCCAGTTAATTTTTCGATCGAATTATGCGGAATTATGTCGTCAATCATTATTTATGAATAGAAGGATCATTATAAACATGGTTTGAAAGGTGTACACGCCCATTCGGGGCGAATCTTTGATGAACGATATTTCACGAACGTCTCAATGTTATCGTCTGAAAATGAGCAGCAACTTACCTCTACTAACACTCCATGAGATGGCCAACTATGAAAAAAAATATCCAGAGACGGACTTGGGAAATTCATTTTCTTTATAAATGTCATAATTTTGACTTTCTGGATAGTAGAAAGATCAGGAAAAACACTACAATTGCAGCTTTTCAATTTGTATGGCACACTTCAACCGATTGGGTAAAAAAAATTCAAACAAAATACTGATGAATATTTCTTTGTTTTCGTCATTACTCTCTACATTCGACTTAAGGTATTGATATTATTTTTTTTGCATATTGATATCCCAGAGCAAAGTTGTAAATAGGTTTTTTTAATAAAAAAATTCAGGACCGGATTTGAAC